TTTTTTTTTTGAGAAGACACACGAATAAAACGAAACTTGTGTATTCGAGAGTTATCATCTTCAGAACGTTAATAAGTAACTTTCTTTTCCGCGAGAACAAACAATAAGGTGCGCGGTTAGTACGGTTCAACGATCTCATCGACATTGCCTTCTTTTCTTCTATTTGTTTGAATTCATTCGGTATCGGAGTGAACCATCGACCAAAGAGTTAAGGTTAAAAGATTTGTGAGTTCGTAAAAGAATATTAAATGTTAAGTAAGATACATTCGGAAGCGTAATCGAACGATTTATCGACGCGTGAAGAATTCCCTTATCTGCACACGGAGGAGGGTACTGTCCTTAATGGATTGCATAACTTACATTCATCGCAGAATCCTCGATGGCGCCTCTATTTTTATGCGGAAAAATACCGCACCGGTTAATCTAAACCGTTTTACATTTTATTTATTCTGATGAACTCGCGCCTTCTGATCGACGATGCCAATCGACATCCACTCTAGACATCTAGATTTCGTCCGTTTAACCGCAAATTTATTCAATAATAGATATGCTTATCCTCACATTTCCTCAAGTCAGTCTTTATATAAAATCGTTGAACTTAATTTAACTTATCAAACTTCTATTTTGAAATAACTTAATCTTATCGATTTGACGATTATTTTTTCATTTTTTTTTTTTCTTAAGAATATTAATTTGAAAATTCACGTTTAGAAATTGAATCATCTAGTTCTTAAAAATTGCGAGGAAACATTATTTTTATAATTGTAATGAACACATCTTTACAATATATTTTCAATATTTGAATAGAACTGCTCTCTGCGATTTTCAGTATCTTCAAATAACGATCAAAAATATGGTAATGATATGGAAATATCGTTCCCTTGACGCACATTTCATATTTATGGTGGTATCAAATTTTTAATGCCACTCTATACAAATAGTACAAATAAAGTTGTCCAATCGAAATTAAATAAACGATAACTTAATATCATATTCTTAGTATTTAACGTAACCTCGACTTCAGCGTGTAAACATTCTAACCTCACTTTCATGAGGAAGAATGGCGGGAAATTGCGTTAATTCCGATTTTTGTATCGATTTATCGAGTCATTATATCATTAATTTTAATTAAAATTCTAATCAAAATTGCACATTGTTTATTGTATTATACGCAATATGAAAAGTTTTCAAATCTTCTATTATACATAACCTAATCTAACGAAAAATAAAAGATAAGGTTATGAGTGTTTCACGATTGAAATGATTCTTGATTCTTTATTTTGTTTCGATACGACTTATCTTTCAACGCTCACATTGTGCTTTAATTGAATGTTTGAAAGCTTTGATGATAATCATTTGCGTTATATACGATTGATACGATTGAAATAATCAAAATATACATACGTGTAATATAACGTTGATATTAATTATCCTCCAACGGCGACAATATTTATTTATGTTATGATTTTTTTAAAATATCACGATTCTTAGTTAACTCTTTAAATATAAACTTGTAGAGTGTAGAATAATATTCTATCAAGTGATAAGATTTTTTTTTTTTTTTATCTAAAATTAGATCGCGGATCGAATTACATATTAGCCCGAGTTTTCAAAGTTTCTGAGTTTTGGAAGCATGGAATATTGTGAACGAAATTATGTTCACGTGGAAACGAGTTTGATTTTTCGTTATTAAGTAACGAAATTATCTCTGTTCGTTAAGAAATTGACGAGAGAGAGAGAGAGAGAGAGAGAGATAATGAATTAAAAATTGAGATATAGTAGTAAAAAAATTATTGGGATTGTAACGATATTTTATTGTGATAATATTTGCCTTTTGCCTAAACCGAGAATGCTTCTTAGTAATTACTTTATTATTAAAATATCGCGCAACATAGATTTTCATATGTAAAAATATCAAAATATAAAAGTTTTATACGTTAATTTGAAATCCCGTGCGAAAAAGACGTTTAAATTTTTTTTTTTTTTTTTTATTAAATCGTTCTCTAGGTAATTTTTTTGTAGTTATATTATAAACGAATGATAATAATTAACGAAATTTTATTCAACAATTTTTTTTTGCAATTTATAAAAATATAAACGCGTAAAAAGGAAGTTAGTGGAAGAGGCGTGAAGTCTCAGTGAACTCAATCGGACACGCTTTCTGTTTTTACTTCGTCTCTAGAACAAGCAGTTACGCTCCTCGCCCGAATAATAAATATACGACTTTCCATTTTCAACGTAAGTGATTTTCTGATTTTCGATCCCAAAAACAAATAATAATAATAAGAGGATCTTTTGAAATCGTATTTTGATTGAAATACGCGTCTACTATATTAGATTGATTAGATTAAAAGTATGTAACAAATATTCAATATATAATTTTGAAATTAATATTTTTATTTGAAAATTGATTTTTGCACAATCAAAACGCTCACGGTACAGATATATCGTCAATTTCACTTTTAATAAATCTTGTACAAACGTAAAGTTAACGTTAAATTAAATACGTATAAGAGACACGTACAATTTGAAATACAAAGACACGCGAAGGATTTCATAGCACATGGTCACGTGAGCGATTATTTACAAGTAAATAAGGAGGAGTGGTTTGAGGGTGAGCCTCACGAGAAATCATATTATATATACATATTTTACTCACACAAGATCGCACTTGTGTCCGTGGAACGTCAGCTTATTGTATGCACGTTCATCTCTTTTACTCTAATTTTTCATGTTTTTCGCCTATCTACCGTTCCTCGCTTAGAATTGTTCACCGATCGTGTCTATAAGTATATAGTGTATACACAGGCGCCATATTTGTCGTATCGCAGTGTGGAAACACATTGTATATGAACGTCAACACAATGGAATACGACAACGTGTTGCTGTGCTGAGAATGGCAAGTTGTCGCAAAAGTCTAGCTAGTATTTATTCCGACATTTCTGAACTGTATTCTCTAGCAAAAGTGTTGTAAGAGTAACAAAGCGCGTGGAGATGGAAGAAGAAGGAAGGAGAAGATAAAGAAACAGTTACAAAGTATCGAGTGCGAGAGGGAGTTGACCGAAGAAAAAGTACCGGTGTGGTGGGGCAGTTAGCGACAGTATGCCGGTAGTGGTAACGGCGGGTGTCGGTGTTGCCGAAGGTATATGCGTGCATAGATACACGAACACGCGCGCAGATTGGAAAGAGAAAGAGGATAAGAGGGAGTAAGAAGGAAGACCGACAGTAGACAAGAGGAGTGGTAGAGGAGCACGAAGAACCAAGTTGCCAGAGACAGTGTCGGAGAGAAGTGGTCGGTCGGTGGCAGTTCGAGTCTGTCGTCAGGTCAAGAACGTGTGGTTAGATTCGATTCGTTGGCAACGTTCTTCGCACTTTTTTTTTTTCCTTCTTATCTTCATTAAAGTAAGTTTTTCGCGAATCGAATAAAATTGTGTAATCGAGAACGTTTTTCGCGACGTTTTTCAATATGGGTTAAAGAGTGTTTCTTCGTTTCTCGATTATATCCTATGTGCAAACTTCGATAACTGTGTTTCAAAGTGCAAATTGGTGCGCGTATTGTGCAAGTTGTTTGAACGCAACTCACTGATCGAGGTGGCACGTTTACCTGTGTATTCGTCCCTCTCCTTTTTTCGTTTCGTTCTTTCGTTTTGCGGTAGAGAACCGAGAGGAGATTATTCGATTGTTAATTGCAAGTAAAAAAACAAAGCAAGTATAAGTGAACGTTAGTTTATCGAAATCGAATGAACCGTATGCGTCGACGACGACGTCGAAGACGAGGACGAAGGGGATAGTCGATGGCAATAGCGCAATGAAACACAGATAATGCGGCAACTACGTGACCGACCGAGCAACATTTAGCAATAAGAAAGATCAACCTCGACCTCCAAATACGTTGCCGACAGTATAATCTCGACGAGTTTATGCTTCGAAGAGTTAAGAAGTATATTCAGGAAATACAATTGTTTTATCCATCTACTTTGAAAACCATATAGTCATAGAAAATTTCCATCGTTCGATGTGTGCAAACTTCTATGAAGAGATTTTTATATACTGGTCCTCGAGAAACCGTTAATCGAGACTGGATCGGATCGAGCAAAGTAGGACAAAGTGCAATAATCCTACTTAAGGAAAAATCTGTGCTGTATACTTTTTAAATTTTTTCCACGTAATAAGAAGCTAATGATCTCTGAAAAAATATCGTTAAATCGTAAATAATAATATTTTAAATATATATATATATATATACATGTATAATATTTCTTCTATTTGCATAACTTATCTGGATATATTCTACAATAGCATAGTATTACATAGAAAGGCTGCAAATGAAAACCAAGTACCTTAGAAAGTACCAAATAAATCGAGTAGATCGTTCATTTTGTTTTAAGAATTTTAAGAGAATTTTAAACCATTAAGAAAACTTGTCCACTAACTAATTCTTATCAACTTCAAACTGTTTAATCTGGTGTCTATATCCTGAATTACGTTTGCGCAAAAGATAAAAATATAGAAAAAAAAACAAGGGCAAATTGAAATCGATCGAAATGATCATCGAGAACGTAATAACTAAATCGTGCTCGTTGCACGGGAAAAGAGAACAGAGAGATTAGTTAAAAAAAAAAAAGGAAAACATTGGATCGATCGGAGCGAAGCAAAGACCCATTTAGAATACAGAAAGAATATCGTCGAGGTATGTGCAACAAGTTAAGGGGGAAGCACGTGACTGTTATCTGCTAAAGCAAACATCCGAACAACATAGATAAAATTGGAAGCGACGACCGCAAAACTTGAGATACGCGCAAAAAAATATATCCGCGTTATATATATATATATATACGTTCTTTTCTTTGCGAGTCGCGAAGAAAAACTCGCTGGCCGAGTTTAAAGGAAACGTCGAGGATTTCGATCGATTTTCTTGGTCACGAATTGAGGAAGTTGGAAATAGAAAAAAAAAAAAAGGAATCGTGTCACGAGATTGGACAATTGGCAATTTCATCGTTTTTATAGATACGCCTATATATGCCGCGTATTTCGAAGCCACGTATAGCAACATGTTCGAATTTGCCGGGCGATTCTATTCACAGAGGGGCGTAAAACTTTGAATGACTTCCCGTTTTGCGGCTTCATTTTTGACTCGTCCGACGAGAGGACGAGACAAATGCCCGTCGCTTCAGAAGATTGGGTCCCGCACCCGGCTAAGATAACCAGTTCTATTACCACTGTCAAAGGTGCCACTATCCAAAGCACGACTACATCTTGGATGTCGCCATACAGCAGAGCGTCTCCGTCTGAACGTCCAACTTCTAACAACAACAACAACAACAACAACAATAATAATAATAATAATAATGGAGTTGTCATACTCGAAGGATGTAGACCACCTGCTGCCACCACTGCTAGAAGGTTTCTCAGGTGGTTCAGCAGACTTGGTCAACCGCCAATGGGAAAATCAGGTAATAATTAAAAATTGTTAATCGTTCGTTTCTGTTGGGTGACTGACTGATATGTTATTGTGCAAAGAGATAGTGCGGTATAAAATGCTCGAAGATTAATTATAAATTAATTTATAATTAAAACACAATATTTTCAATAATTTTAGAAACAATATATTTCTATTATAAAATTATATAATTTTGTAGATCGATTCCGACTCTCGTTTGATGTATAATAATTAATTCAATTACACTCTTCAATCAGGTTAGCCACACGTTTGCACATAGAAGAAGAACTCGTAAAGGACAAAATCGATATTCCTGCGGAATAACGTGTATACCACACGAATATACATACACTCGAGTGTGCTGCTCTCTCGTCTTATTAGGTTCGTGGTACTGTTAGTCATCGCAGGTGTTCCGTGCATATGGCACTCGCCCATTAATAAAAAAAGACCGTATTTATGTACGAGAGAAACGTTGCAACAGATAATTGAATAGATTCCGTTTCTGCACAATTAATACGAAAATCATTAACGATGATTTATAAGAAGATAAGAGGTTTAAACGAAAAGAAAATTGCTACGAGTTCGCATTGCCATTACTACAAACTACTAGAGATATTAACCGATGAAACTGGTGAAATTGGAAATTGTTTATTAAGGAGAAACGAATCGATAAAAATCGAATAATTTATCGCATAACTCTTACATTTTTCGTCGAATATTATACAATAAACGATAAATCTAATAACTCGATCAGTGTCAAGTTCCTGATATTTAACGATACGTCGGCTATTTGGTGCAATGTACTCGGGCTACCATGACGAATGCAGAATCGTATTAACGGGCCTTCCATTGTACGATATTTCAACAGTCTTTTTATATATGCGTTTTCCTTATAATATATATATATATATATATCGTAATATATATCGTACACGAGGAAATCAAGCTTCGTCGCATCGATTTTTCAAATTCCACTCTTACGTATCTATTTCCCAAGTATGCGCAAATTATTAAACGTTTGCGTAACATTTTTATTCGTTAGCTATCCGATAGTCCCCTCTTTTCCTTCGTTTTCTAATTACAAAAGTACTTACCAAAGCTTTTATGTCGTATCGTAAATATATACAAGACGTGTATCCGTATATTAAGTATATTCACGGATGGATATTTGTATTTTCATGGATGATAAATTAAAAACGTTGTTAAACCGTTGAGTAATAGTTAATTTACTTAAAATGTCATCATACATAAAATGAGAGGAACGGTGTCGCAATTCGGCAGCATTTCGGATTTGATATTGATATCGATTTAACGTTTGAGCCCCCTCCCCTCCCCCCCTCCTCCCCTCCCCACCCCCTCCGGCTATTAATCGATGACACATACAGCGTGATTACGTGTATAGCACGCGCCTATACATTGATATTTCATTAATAAGAGAGAAAACGTGATAGATCTTGTATATACGTATATATACACACAAGTTGTACACAAATCGATGCTTGTCGTTGGTCAATGTCAAATGATTTCACATACAATTCGAATTAGGAATTACGTGAAACGATCGATGATATCGTAATTCTGCTTTTTATATTAACGATGAGCAACGATTATACGCGGTTACGATAATAAATTGTCGTCCATTATCCACATCGTTCGTCACATTAACGTTCGGGAGAATGTAATTTTTTTTCTCCCCTCCCCCTCTCCCCTCGAAGAAAACGCGTTTGAAAACGTGTTTGTCTAATAAAAAAATAACGAACGTTGTTCCCTCCTCGCGATGAACAAAAGAAGATTATTCTTTGGATCGAAGAAAACTGGCCGGCCGGCAACGTACGGCACGACAGCTTACGATAACTGGGCCGGAAAGAGGACGAACCGTAAACTTGATAAATAAACATTAGAGTTGGTGTGCAAACCAGGTCGCGATCGTTGCCGGCAACGGAATTCGTAATAATCGCGACTCCCCTCCCCTCCCCTCCTTCTTTGTTATGGCCCTTTCTCCTTAACGCAATTAACCGCGAGGGATATCTTTATTATTTCAACCGTTTTCTTACACCACGAAAGAAAATTGTACGTGTGTGTCTTCTTATCTCGTTCTTAACCATTTTCGTTAACCGCGCGATGTTGCCGCTTGCGAATAAATTTGGAATAACAACAAGGACGAATAGATTGTCGAATAGATGTTGCAACAATGTCGCGCCGTTATTCGATATTTTTTTAATTAGTCTAATGAGCGAAAAAAATAAGTTACATAAGGTTGCCATTTATAACTTGTACCTTGATTATTACATCTTATTCGCAGTCGCACAATTTACATAAGCACGAGCTTTGTTACTTTGTTACTCGATGATTAAATGATAATTCCAATAACAATTTATCATTTTTTTTTAATCTATCAGAAATTAACAAAACGTTTGAAGATTGATAACGCTTTTGAAAAAAAGTACGTCTCGTATTTACGGGACGCGTTACGAATCTTCGTAGTTTGCTGCGCAAATGAAACAATTCGTCGATAAAATAAAGAAAAAAGAAGAGAAAGAAAAACTCGAGACGACATAGCTTTCTTATTTATAATTAGGCAATAAGAGAAGGAACCAGACTAGAATTTCGTTTCCACACGGGGAAACGAAGGCAGAAGAAGGGACTTTTCAACGATGTGTCGCGTACACACGCGTTGTGTAATCCTTGGCTCGTTCACGCGTGGGTGAAGCTGAGAGAACCACCTGGCAACGTTGCCGCTAAAATACGAGTTGGGATTCGAATCACGATCGGTTTCTCTTTGCGACGAGATAATGGCTGGAAACGGCTTCCGGGAAATTCATAAACCGCGAGAATTAGTTTTTTTTTTAGACAGGAGATGCCAACTCGTTGCGCAAATATTGCGACGAGAGAATCGCAATATGGATTTTTTTTCCGTTCTTTTCTATTTTGTTTCGTATTCAATTTTAGAATTAATGAAATTCGAACGCTTTGCCGGATAGATATTCGTTTTATCTCGCTTTTATTTGGCTCGCTCGGGCAAGAGAAATTTTTTTTCTTTTTTTTTCTTTTTTCACACCGTTTCTTTGCGCGTTGTCACGCAATGCGCTATCAGACACGACGGGGGCAACGGCTCGTAATCTCGCGAGGAGGTTACACACAGGTGCTCGGGCAAGAATATACACACGTCGACGAGCGAGCGTGTCACCTGCTTTAAATTATTATTCCTAAGCGAGTGTGCAAACATGCCCGCGTCGTTTTCCACCGTGAATCATAAATCATTTCTTTCGATTCGAGGAGTTCGAAACGAGGACCGCGTGTTCGTTCGGACAGCTTCGAAATGATTAAAAAAGAAGCAGGAGGGGGGAGGAGGATTTATTAAAATTATTGACTTGGCAGTATTTTTGAAGAAAAAGATTGATTCGAGAGAAGAGCAGAACTTGTTCCTCGCATCGAAAACTTTACACGATCACTTTTTTCGTGTATTTCGAAATTCGGGACAGAAGTTCGTTTAATAATAAACGAATTAAAATTCCTCTCGTTAGAGACTAACGACTTTATTATTATTTTCCAACTCCTCTATGCTTCCACCACGGGTGGCAAAGGTTATCATTTATCGAAGAAATTCCATTTATTTACGGCTATAATTATCGTTCGAACGTTCAATCGTATCGAATTAAAACGCTCTCGAACTTTCAAATTGGCCGAAGTATCGTTTGTTAAATTGTGTTATACGCCTCAGGCGTCTGAAGTAATGTAATTTTATATAGGCGTATCCCGTGAGCTCTTGTCGTAATGTCATGACTTCTTCTTTGTGAATCGGTGCTGCGGAAAGACAAAATATAATCTTACAAGTCAAGGATTACTCACGAGTGAGACTGGTATTTACAAATCATGGTAACTCGACTTGTATACGTACGTTATATACACGCTTAAATACTGGCTAGGGAACAAAGCGACCATTGTCGTGCGTACGCGCCACTCGCGCGAAATTATACTTAATACTTTCTCGTCCTTATTTTTTGGAATGTGGTGTATCCGTTATGGTAATTTCAAAATTTTTCATTCGTTTCCACGATGATTTTATCATCTTTTGTTAATTTTGAATCATATTATACATCATTGTATGCTTGAAGAAACAGTTTATCATTTTTGATGAAATAAAGTTAGGTTAGGTGAGGTTAAGTTATATAAAGTTGTATCGATTGTATAAAGAATATATATCTTTCAAAAGATGATGTACAAGTCTCTATAAGACGTGAAAAAATTCGCAATATATGCAAAGTTTTGTCAACGATGAGTGAAGCGAAGACGAAATCAACGAACCGACGACGTGCTAACCTCGCTTTCTTGAAATATTGTATTATGCAAATCGCGTAAACAAGTATGGTCTATTATCGATACGTTACAGTTGTAGAAATAACTATGTAACGAATAAAAATAGTATTTAAGATAGTAAATTTTTTGTTATTGTTAGATGGAAAATTTTCCAAAAATTATATAACCTTGTTTGCTATCTTGTTTTCTGTTATTCTCAAAGAAGTCGATATTTTCTGTTGATACAAGAGAAATCGGATAATAATTGTAATGTAAATCATTAATGTTAATCATTACAACATTACATAATACTCACCAATATGTTGTTAAAACAAAAATGGAAAAATATTACGCAAATATTACATTGTTGATCGAGAGAAAATAAGCAGCGCACGTGTGCGCAAGCGCATGAATCTACCGACCGAGAAGTTTGTCATTCTATACTTTATACTATACTGCAGGATGTAAAATTCTATTTGCAATTCGATACGTGTGTCAACATTTGTATAATAAGAAAATTGATTAACGAATATATATATATATATATATATATATTTCATATATTTTGAAACATATTTTCATATAATTTCCTAGATATTGTTTACGTTGAATTCTATTCCAAACTTAACCTAACCTAAAAGAGATTACCTTAAAGAGATTCAATTCACGAAATAACTATCGTTACATACTATAAAAATAATTTTCCATAAGAAAGAT